GAGCAGATTTGATTGAAGAAGGTTGTGTGGTACAGAGAAAGGGCAACTGGATTGAATATCAGTGACTTTGGGTTTAAAAAGCATTTGGTGACCCATTACTAGTGACTCCACCTGCCTGAGCCCATGTGTGGTCAAGACTGACCAAGAGGGCAGGGTGGCTCGGGTAAAGTATGGGGAAAATCTGATCAAGTACCCCTGGTGCTCTCTGTGTGTTTTGCATCCTGCATCTTGGGATTATCAAAATATGGCGAGATATGCCCTTTAATTCCAATTTAGGTGGAAGGCACAGTGATTAACAGCGGGTTCCCAAGAGTAGATCATTATCAGCTGGAATCTTGCCTTCCTGCTTCCTGGTTGTGAGAGCTTGAGCAAGGTGCTTCACCCCACCAAGCCTCAGTTTCCCTCTCTGGGCAACTAGTATGAGGATGAGCATGGTGATGCTTCAAAGGGTAGTTAGGAAGAAGAAATGAGACACTGCATTTAAAACATGTAGTGCATATGCTTTGAGGGATGGACAGGCAGGTGTTCAGGCATCTGCACACGGAGTTGTAGAGCACTCGTGGTCTATGTGTGGCTTCCTAGCTGTGTCTGCTCCTGTGAGCAGTGCCAAGTGTCTATGAAGGCTGCAGTGCTGAGCTCAGTCCCATTTTACAGGTAAGGAAACTAAGGTTCACAATATTGAGATAACTTAGTGGAGGCCATACATACAGTAGACACAGGTCTGGTGTTGGGTCTCTGGTTTGCCCATTCAAATGGCAGAGATGTGGCATCTCCAAAGGGAAGGGCACAGCAAAGCCAGCAAGGAAGTGGGGGGCATGAAACAAAGCCATTTGCACTACATCACCATGCTTATCCTCATACTAGTTGCACAGAGAGGGAAACTGAGGCTTGGTGGGGTGAAGCACCTTGCTTAAGCTCTCACAACCAGGAAGCAGGAAGGCAAGATTCCAGCTGATAATGATCTACTCTTGGGTACCCGCTGTTAATCACTGTGCCTTCCACCTACGCAGCCATAAAAAAGAACAAAATCATGAATTTCACAGCAACCGGGATGGAACTAGAGTTTATAATACTGAGTGATCTCTCACAGAAACAAAGATCTGAGTATCACATGTTCCCACTCATAAGTGGACCTTGAACATCTATCATAATACTATAAGAAAAGGATTGACAGTGGGGGGAAACTATGAGGGGGGCAGGGAGGGCAGGGGAGGTGGGATTAACGGTAGCCAATATCTGTCTGGGGACAGGGGGACAGCCCTTATCAACAAGGGTGCCCAAATGATGCATATTTTTACACCTAACCCTTAACTGTACCCCATAATTTTAAAATAAAAAATATGTTAAAAGGAAAAAAAAGAAAAATACAATATTTGAAATGAAAAAAATAAAAAAATAAAAAAAATAAAACATGTAGTGAAGAGCTTGACCCAAATACTCAAATATTTATCAACTCAGATACTACCATCCAGAGCACAGACTGGAAGCATGAAATAAAGTCCTGAAGTATTGGCAGCGAGAAGCCTCAAGTTTGACCTTGTTTGTTCTGAGGAAAGTTGGGAGGCCTCACCCAAGTAACCAGAGACACTTCTGGGCAAATCTCTCTCAGGAAAGCCCATACATATCTGTGTGCAAGGACACAACCTGGAAGAGAGGTCCTTTCTCCAGGATGGAGGCTCAGGAACGTGTGCCTCCCCTTCTCTGCCTGTCCAGCCAGAAGGGCATGAGATATGCATCATCTGCTCTGATATGAGACACTCCTCCCATTCTTTTTCTGACCAGTTGGGGCAGGGGCTGAGGCAGGTGAGGAAATTTTTTGAGATTCCCCTGAGGATAAAGGTAAGAGGATAACTAAAGTTCAAAGGGAAGCCAATCCTGCCTTCCTAGCTAGTTATGGGGACTGATACCATTTACAGAGGAGGAGGTCCCTGGAACACTATGCTCCCATCTCTTAAAATCCATTTCCTAGGTCCTGTTTTCTGATGATTGGTCTGAATTGAGAACCAGTCACAAGTTTGAGCCTCCCTGGGGTCTGAGTCACTTACTCAGGATTACCTTTGCCCTGTCAGGTGGACAAGGGAGAAACTGCTTTGAGGGATGGACAGGCAGGTGTTCAGGCATCTGCACAGGGAGTTGTGGAGCACTCATGGTCTATGTACAGCTTCCTAGCTGTGTCTGTTCCTGTGAGCAGTGCCTTATGCCACATCTCAGCAACCGAAGCACTTAGAGGTCACACAGGCACTGGCCTCCCCATGCATTTCCAGGCCAGGGAGGTAATGCAAATTATTCAAGTGTAAGATCATGTAAGCATTGGTCTGTGATGACCTGGAGACAACGTGGCTGCTCCAAAAGGAGTGAATTTTCGAATTTTAGAAACACTTCTGACTGGGTGTAGTCTGCCCATGCCTTGTTTACACAAATTTGGTAGTAACAATGATCTGTGTGGGCTCGAAAGTCCCTTGCGGTGTGAGGCTACACATTGGGGTGGGGCAGCAATGGTCAGTGGGGCTACTAGGGATCCTAAGGAGGCTTAATCCAAAGGGGCTGGGAAGAGGAGACAGCTCAGTGAGCAGCACCTGAGGACTTACAGCAGGCACAGACACAGGGTCTTGCTGTCCTGATGAAGGCTCCTGGGGCCTGGGGCCCTCAGTGCTTCTAATAGCCCAATCTCATCTGCAGGAAGTCCAGAGAGAAGATTGCCAGATGAGAGAGAGGTTGCAGGCTCTTAGGAGCTGCCTGGTCCCTGCACATTACACTCCAGGCACCCTTGGGTCACATGCCTTCCTAGCTTTTGAAGAATCCACACTCCCTATCTGCAGAGAGATGAGGGGCCACCTTAGGTCCCTCTACCAGAATTTCTGCAAAGTGAGGGCCTCTGTTTCAAGTCTTATTTCCTCTCTAGTAGCAGTTCCTCTATAAATGAATCCTGAACTTCTCAACAGAAAATTTCAACAAAAAAGAGGCTTAGGAGAATGAGGAATTTGCAAATCTCATGCACTGGAAACAGGCCAGGAGTTCAGTGATGCTGGAAGAAACTCGAGATTTGCCCAAGAGCACCAAAGTCCCTTTCTCTAGCTTTCCACTCACTGCTAGCACTCTAGAAAACCCAAGTAAGATTATTTGAAAGCCTGCCTATTAGAAGCCTATTTTTAGCCTGGATCTTATATCAAAACCAAGAGGGAGGCTCATCCTCAGCATTAACAGCAGTTCCCTGCACAGAGATAAAGGCTGTGGTTAAGAAGAGCACTATGCACAAGTGCATGCCTGTGTATGGGGTTATGGACCCTTCTGTTGGCTGAGATCAATCAGATTCTTAAATGGTCTTTAGCTAAAAGGATAGATACAAACATCTTAAAACAGCTTCCTGACAGGAAGCAGGCCTCAGCTCGGTGTGGAGAAATAGTCACTGGGGTTCCTGGCATTTTATCTGGAAACCAAGGTCTAGAGGGAGCATAAGTGAACTCAGATTAACAGTGGTAGACCAGAACTCTAATCCTAAACAGAGACACCTCTTTAGGATGACGTTCTCCTCCCCAGAATGGGTTGTTGGGGATCTCGGCAGTCATTTCCTTGTGTGTAGGTAGGTGGCAATGTGGCTCTGAAAAAGGCTGAAGCTGGTTTTTCCATCAGCTCATACACTCAGAGCCTCAGCAGAGGAATTTTAGATCCCTTTTTGCTGCCTGCCAGGCAGGGCTTTCTACCTTAGAAGGCAAAGGGGCTTTGGCAAGAGCCCTGGCCTTTGCAAATGTTGAGTGACCAGGGCTTTAGGCAGGCTGTCCCTTAACACACAGCATGACCTTGGTCAAGGTCACCACCTTGTTTAAACTCAGGTGCTCAGATGGGAGTAGAACATCCAACAGCCCTTCCTGCTCTAATTCACGGCCTAGATATTGGAAGAGCCCACTTGCCAGATCATGAGTGAAACCAGCCCAATACTCTGGAAATGATTCAGATCCCCACTGAGCTCTGGAGCGTGTTATGGGGGCTTCTGCCAAGAAGCTTTCATCTTCAGTTTCATTTAGCAATGCTCAGTTCCTGCATCCTTGATCTGTTAAAACACCTGGTTAGCAGGTGCAATATCTCCATCATGGTTCCCCAAGGTCACACATTGGGCAAGTGACAAGGGTAGGGCTCGAACCAGCACAACTTGAGTCTGGGCTGAGAGACCTTTTCCATTCAGTAAGACCTAAGAGTAAGCTTTAGTCCAGCAGTGGGAAGGGCTTAGACAGGGAGTGTGCACCCCTATGGGAGACGGGAAACACAGGGCTAAGGGTCAGGTCTGCCTTAGGACAATGAACAGGCAGAGCCAGTTGAGAAGCCCTTGATCCAGCTGGGTGAGGGAGAGGAGCCCAGTACATGGAACTATCTCTGCCCCCAAACCCACAGTGCGTTCCTGCAGTCAAGCCACAGACACTGGGGGTCAGGTTCCTGAAGGGTATTCTGCTAATGGGGTCCAGCATGAGTCTGAGGGAAGCCTGTGATCTCCAGGGGGTCCAGTTTAGCTCAGTCTGTCTCCCCAAGGCAGAGCTGCTCATGACTGGGACTTCGCTCTCTATGCCACAGTACTATGGTTTGAGTAAAGCAGGGTGATCCCAGTTGACTATATGGATAACTATACAGCAAGACCTCAGTTCCCATGTTTGCCCAGACCTTTACAACTTCACTATGGTCCCTACCTTCTCCTTACAACTACCCTCTGAGTATGTGGGGTGGAACGTCAGGACGCATTTCACAGATGATGCTCCTGAGATTTTCCAAGGTCACACGGAGGATGGGTTGCCTAGCAGAGATCTAGAACCAGGCCCTCTGGATCCTGGCCTGAGGCTCACCCCACTGTACCTGCTGCTGCTCTGCTGAGTGGTGTTTTTGAGGGTCTTAGGGGAGGATGGAATGACAGAAGTGACCAGATGTGTCCACCATCTCCCAACCACCTACCACCCCTCAGGCAGCCCTGTCTGCTGTGTCAGTGCATAGAGGATGGCTGGGAGGCGGGGTCTTACCTGTAGCAGTGGTGATGCCCAGGAGCCGGCAGGTGTATTCCAGCCCAGTCCAGAATATCTGAAGTTTCATGGCGCCAGGGTTAGGATAAAGTCTCAGCAGGGTAGATAGCAGAAGCTCAGGCCCGAGATGCTTCCGGATGTCCTTGCGCAGGCTGGAGGCTGTGGCTGCTGGCTCAGGGACCCTGAGCCCCAGGGTTCTGCCTTCCCAAACCAGTCCTGGCCACCACAGCCTGGCTGAGGTGTGAATAGGGCTCACCTTTCCAGCTTGTCAGTCCATGTCCCTGCTAAGCATTCAGCTTAATCATTACCTCGGAAGAATGCACCCGCTGCTCTGTGCAGCCTCAGCCCGGGCCTGAAGCTGCTCGGCCCCAGTGCGGCAGCCTGAGATCGGCCGATTAGGGCTGGGCTGGAGGCAGCCTGGAGCTGGCAATTAACCATTTCTAGCTGGGAGGAGGGAGCTGAGGGAGCTAGCCAGGCTCTTCCTCACCAGGAAGTGCCTAGAAAGTCACACCTGAACCTCACACCCGCTGGAGGCCTGCAGCATCAGGCTTTGGAGGGGACAGCACACATGCAGATCCATGTCTGTGTGCATGTGGGAAAGAGGAATGTGTCTTTAAATCACCAGTAGAAACAACTTTTGAAATGAGTTCCAAGCTTCATTCTTCTGCATATAGGTGGATTAGAAAGCTGTTCAAGTCTGTGGCAGATTTGGATATACTTAGGCCTCACACACAGAGGCCTTCCTTTATCATGGACATGAATTTCCAACATGGGAAATTACTTTGAATCTTTGGGAGGGGAGTTGCTGTTAATAATTAACTGGGTGACCTTGGGGAAACCCGAAGGTATCCGTGAGCCTAATTAACTTTTGTAGAAAATGAATGATAGGTATTGGCTGAATTGATGGTTCTCAAAGTATGAGTGTCCCCGGAGCTGTGCCAAGAAGCCTAGCCTTTAAAATTGAACAATGGTGGACTTTTAGTAATTTCTAATTTACAAATTGATGTAATGAATTGAATGGTATTGAGTTATAGTTTTCTTACCAGGTGTCCTTCTGAACTCTTTTACTCATTTGCTCTTATGAGATAGACAACAAAACAACTAACTAAATAAAAAAAACTCAAAAAAAAACCCACACCAATATAGATGCTCCTTGACTTATGATGGGGTTATGTCACAATAAACTGATCACAGGTTGAAAACACTGTATGCTGAAAATGCATTTAGTTCACATAACCTACTGAACATCATAGCTTAGCCTAGCCTATCTTAAACATGCTCAGAACACTTACATTTGCCTACAGTCAGGCAAAATCATGTGACACAAGGCCTATTTCATAATAAAGTATTGACTATCTCTTGTAAGGATATCATCAGCCTGGGAAAAGATCAAAATTCAAAATCTGAAGTATGGTTTCTACTAAATGTGTACTGCTTTCGTATCATTATAATGTCAAAATCATTAAGGCACTGTTGGTCTTGCTTTTTTCTTTGTTAATGGTGATATTCCCTCATATAATGAACAAATATTTTTTGCCATTAAAATTATTTTAATTTTATTAACTTGATCAAGAATCATGGCATTCCATAAAGACTACCTTTTTTTTTTCCTATTTTTCCCTTCGAATGAGTTTAAGAACCTCTGTGCTCATGTGATCTTCAAAATCAAGTTAATATTTTTCTTTCTATCTTTTGTAATTATTTTATTTTCGATTCAACTGGTACATGTGCAGATTTGTTATACAGGTACATTGCATGATGGAGTCTATTGAGCCTGTCACCCAGGTGGTAGGCGTGGTACCCAATGGGTGGCTTATCATCCTTTACCTCCTTCCCCCCTCCCACCCCACTTTAGGAGGCCCTAGTGTCTGTTGTGACTGTCCTTATGCCCATGTGTATTCAATATTTATTTTCCACTTTTAAGTAAGGACATGCAGTATTTAGTTTCCTGTTTCTGTGATTTACTTAGAATGATGGTCTCCAGCTGCATCCATGTTGTTGCAAAGGACATGATTTTGTTCTTTTAATGACTGTATTGTATTCCACAGTGTATGTGTGCCACATTTTCTTTATCCAGTCCACTACTGACGGACACCTAGGTTGGTTCCATGTTTTTATTACTATGAATAGTACTGTGACTGTGATGAACATACAAGTGCTGGTGTCTTCCTAGTTGAATAATTTATGCTACCAGTAGTGGTATTACTGAATTAAACAGTAAATTGACTTTTAGTTCTTAAAATCTCCAAACTGCTTTCCACAGGGGCTACACTTTCCTACCAACAGTGTATGACCATTCCCTTTTCTCCACAACCTCGCCAACATCTGTTGTTTTATAACTTTTTAACAATAGCCATTCTGACTGGTGTGAGATGGGATCTGATGATTAGTGATGTTGAACATTTTTTCACATGTATTTTGGCTGCTTGTATGCCTTCTTTTGAGAAGTGTGGTCATGTCTTTTGTCCACTTTTTTTTTTTTTGAGTTGGAGTCTCACTCCGTTGCTCAGACTGGAGTGCAGTGGCCGCTCCCAGCCACCGCAGCCTCGACCTGCTGGGCTCCGGCGATCCTTCCGCCTCAGCCTTCCGAGTAGCCAGAATTACAGGAATGCACTACCACGCCCGGCTGATTTTTTGATTTATTGTAGAGATGAGGTCTCGCTGCCCAGGTGGGTCTCGAACCCGCGGGCTCAGGCAATCCACTCACTTCAGCCTCCCAAAGGCGCAGGATTACAGGCTGAGCCACCAAGCCCGGCTCTTTGTCCACTTTTTAATGTGGTTATTTGTGCTCTTCCTGTTGATTCATTTGAGTTCCTTATAGATTCTGGATAATAGTCCTTTGTTGGATGCATAGTTAGCAAATATTTTCCACCATTCTGTAGGAATATTTACTCTGTTCGTGGTTTCTTTTTCTGTGCAGAAGTTCTTTAGTTTAATTGGGTCTCACTTGTTAATTTTGTTTTTTGCTGCATTTGTTTTTAGAGGCAAGATCAAGTTCAAAATTGTATGATTTGAGCAGATTTATTCTTTGGATTAGCAGACTGTGTTTGCCTATTAGTAGATGATCAATTCCTACCTTCCCCAATTTTACCATGTCTTGACACCAGTGAGCCCCTCCCACCATCCTCTGGCCCACATTGTTGGTATTTGGGTCTCTGTGGCGCGCATTGAATTGTGCAGGTGGAGCTGTTGGGACTTGGTGTCAGCAGTCTGGCAGCTACTTACTCTTTAGGAACTCTTTCTCTTTGTGTGGGTTGGAAGCTCTGGCTGGTCCCACAGTGCTCTCTTGCTTCTTCCAGGCCCACAGCAGCTGATTTTGTTTTATATCTGATGTCTGTATGCTCAGAAGATATGGACTCTTTCCTGGTCTGCTTACCAGGGTCTGTTCAGTCCACTGGTCATAACAGAGGCCTCCCTTTCCCATTTAGGAATAAGGGTGTGACTCAGTTCTGGCCAAATAGCCCAGAAAAGGTGTGTACTGATGAGCTTCTGAGAAAATGTCCCTCACTTTTAACAAGAGTTTTGAGGACCAGCTCTGTTTTCTCCCTGCTCAAGATGGTCAATTATCTTATCACGAGGAGGGTCCAGCAAAGCACAATACCAGCTAATGGTCTGGCCGGTGAGACGAGGAGCCCAACTAGGCACCAAAGGACATTTTGAAGCTGCTAAACTTACCTGTTCCTAACTGCCAATGCAGTTGATGCAGGCTTCCAGTTATGACTGAAAGCATTTTGCCTGACAGTGGGTTGTATCTGAACTGAACTTTCTCCAGAGACTTTACCTGAGAAAAGGCTTTTTTTTTTCTTTCTGTGCACTGGGCCATTCAGGTTGAGGGAGACTGAGAACTAAGAGCTAAGGGTTAGCAGTGCCCTGCTTAACTGGGGCTATCCCCCTTAGAGGGATGGAAGGGCAGGGTGTTGAGATGATGGTGGAGGGAAAATCGGGGCCATTGCATAAGCAAAATACGGAGGAACCCCAGAAAGGGTCCCCCTTGAAGAAATTGCAAAGAGGACTCTGACAGAACTTCTGACTTCTCTAGTGCCATTGAAACTTTCTATATTAAATTAATATAGGGCCATAGGATAAAAGCTGTAGAAGAGATCTGAGCCCTGCCAAGCTGCAGCTATGATTAAAAATAAACAAACTTGTTGTTTCTAAGCTGTTCTCCTCTTTGCATAATTGTTTACACAGTCACTTCAATAGAAAGCAATTGATTATCTTCATGTCCTGATCCCTGAGGAGGTGGAAGCGCCCATGAGGTTGATATACATATTTTCCCTTGAACAATGTGTCTAAGGTCATAGAGATCTCTTTGATGGCATCCCGAAGTTTGATTGGCTGAAGGCCAGAAGCAGCTCTAATCTCCAGGGATCCCATCTCCCACATACATTTTTCTTAAACTACCTCTATAATGGCTTACTGCCCAGGGGTCAGTAGCCAATGGTAATGGGACTTGCTTTGTAGATAGCATCTATTGCAAAAATTGAAGAATGGTGTTTCTGATGTTTTTCAGACTTTGCACTCTGATGGACTTGAGAACCCACCTGGACCCGGGCACATAACAAGGAGCTGGCTCCACTGGTCCTGTGACTCCTACCCCAGAAACTGGCTCTGCGCACAATGACAGTTTTGACACCCCCGTGACTTCACTCCCAACCAATCATCAGGGCCTGTTTTCTAGCCCCCTGCCCACCAAATTATTTCTTTAAAACCCTAGCCTAAAATTCTCAGAGAGGTGGATTTAAAAAATCTCTCCTATCCTCATTCAGATGCTTTGTACTATTAAACACTTTACTATTACAGCTGCTATCAGTCTCGGTTTTTCTGGGCAGAAGGCCTAAGAACCTGGTCAAGCTGTAGCACCATTAAGCCCATTTGTGGAACCCCATGGGGAGGGAGTAGTCTGCCTGGACAGACAAGTTCCTTAGACTTCTCTGAGTGTGGAGAAAAGATTGCCAGGAACCAGGATCCAGACCCTGAAATAGAACTTGGATGAGAGAATGGTGAAACCCCAGACATCCAAGTTTGACCCTGCAGTCTCTAACGGGCTCCAAGAAAAAAAAGAAAGGACATTTCCTGGAGAAATGAGTGCACAGCCTGGGGAACTTATGAGAGGTAGAGGAGGGGAAAGGACAGAAGGGAGGACAGAGAGGCCCAGTGGCTGTTACGGAAGCAGGACGTGGAAAAGTACCCCAACTGACAGGAAAGGAGTCTCAAATTACAGCAGTTTTATAAAGCAGAGTGTACCAGGGG